CGTCCAACATGAGCTTTTTCACCAGATTTCTTTGCTTCGGATGACACGTGGTCCCATTCCCGAATACCTTCGAGATCCCATGCTTTCTTCACGCTGAGCTTTTCCCACTCAACATCGAGGGACTTTTGAGCTTCGGGATTTACGCGAATCTCGGCGGCGTTGACTGGCCTAGCCACCGCAGCATACATGTGTTCATGGAAACCTAGCTTGTGACGGTGCGCCTGCGACAGTCCCTTTACCGTCGGCATGGCGGGCGCCGGGTCCTCTCCCGGAAACATGATCAATTCGGTCAACTGCTTGACTGACAGACCGGCAAGACCTTCCGATCTGCGCTGTTCCTTGGCTTCGGCGGCGGCCGCCTTGCGTTCCTTGCTCGACGCTGGCCGATCAGCTGTGCTTGGCAACGCCTCGACCAGTTTATCCTTTTCATACTTCTGCTTAGCCTCTCTACGCTGCTTCTGAGACATAGATTGCCAAATGAAAGAGGATATAGCGGGTGGTCGGTTAGTCCCTTTGTACTTCCTCACCAGAAAGCCTCCCGCCTCTGAGAATGAGGATCCTTCTTTCGGGATTTCAACTAACCTACAGTTTTGTGATCAACAGTTTTGATTGTTTCCACCTTGGATGGAGCAGGTTCATCTAGAAGCGTCTCATCTTCCACATCGGCAACAGCCTCCGGATCTTGTCCCGCTTCTAGGAGAGGGGCATCCTGAATGGTGGGACCAGATTGAGTTGAAGAAATCTTACCCTCTCGAAGGGACTTGTAACGGTCCTGCATCGGGAAAACAAAGTTTCCATCGGGCCTCGTGATTTTGAAAACACGATGCGACTTCACAACATCATCAAAGTCCGTTTCATTCAGCTCTTTCAACGATGCAACAAGGTAATCACCTCTCCATAGAAAGCCGGGGTGGATAACATATCCAACAAATACTCCCGGATTGGACGTGGGATCAAACTTCAAGTCCTTCTTCGGTTTCTGTCTTGGGCCAATCCAGTAGTCTATGCGACATCCGAAAGGCAAGAACTGACCTTGAACTCTTCTTCGAACCTAAGATTCCAAGGTGTTCTGGAACCAGAAGGTGGTTCACAAACATTCTGAGATAAACACCAATGCCTTGCGGCGTGCGGCCAGTATGAATGATTCAATCCGGCCTGTGCAAGTGCGACTCGAGTTCCCTCGAGCACGGTTCTGATGCTTCGTTCAGCCACCGCGTTCGATTTGTGAATGTACTCTTGACTGAGGACATGTCTCCAGCCCATCTCTTCAGCTGCAGCAATTAGCTCAGGGGCATTGTCACTATAAAACGCGCCAACCTCGTCTGACGAGGAAGTGAAATGCTGAAACGCCTTCACAGTGGCTTCCGTGTTTCTTTTAGCAAAAGGGTATGCATATTTGAAACCGTCACTTATGACAAGAGCAGAGTACTCATCGTCTATGCCTAGTTCCTGTTCGTCTGCAGTGATTATGAAATCGGCTGTGATGTGCTCAGCAAACTTTCGAGCATCAACTTGTCTGGATCCCCCCCGCGAGCGAGAGGGAGACTTGGTCATCTTGGCGCATTTGCACACTTCGCAGAATGGATTCTTTGGCTGGTGTGTCATCAGGTGCTTCCGTGATGCTGCTTCCTGCCTTAGGGCACTTTCTGCAAGTGATCTAGGGCTTTTCTTATCGGGATTGCCAACAACATCTTCCCCTGCCAAATCTTTACTCTCTATCGGCTCAGCATGTTCATTTGGTTTGACTTCGATGGGGTCATCCGCCAGAAGCTCAGCGACAACTCTAGCATGCACCTCAGGGTCTTCTAGAGGGGCAATGCTAGGCGTGTACTCCTCTCCCGCTGCATCTTCAGCTTGCTCGGAGGAGGAGTATGACGATTCACTCGATGCGCTGCTTCTGCCGACCTGACCTTCCGGTCGGCTTGGCGGCGTGCCTTTGGCGGGACATGCCATGGCTGAGTCGCCATCCCACACGTCGTAGTACGGGACATAATCTCGAACTTTGAGATATATTCTCGTCCCATCAGGCTTGACAAAGAATGGCTTGTCCTTCGCGTACCATATGAAGTCATAACCCTGATTCATGCACTTCAAACCTACAGAGAGAACAGATGGTGTTTGTGGCAGCAAGTATGGATCCGTGTTCCCAAGGTCACCTGCGGCCATGTTGGCCTGCTTTGACGAATCACTTGGTCCATTGGCAGTCATCAACATCACGGGGTCATTTGAATTATAGATTGCATATTCGGGGCAATTCGCACGGGTAAAAAGGTCTGTTCCACTCGCAGTGTCGATAATCCATGAGCAGTTCGGAGAGAATCTCTTGCTCGCCAGCGCGGGCTTTGCGCCCATGTCTCTCGGGGCGCAGTGGTTGCATCCGATATCGCTGTCACATTCGTATTTGCATCTAGTCGGATGGCCTTCCAATTCACGTCTCACAATGAAGGCGAGCATGGTTGCTCCGAGCCTAGCATCATCTATGCTGATTTCATCATGGAAAAACTGGTGGTCGATTGGGTAGACCTTTGAATACACGCGCGGTTTGTCCGCGATCTTAAACTGCTCACCATGTGCTGGTATCCGATTCATTTCAACCTTCGAGCTGAAACGCACGCTCGGGAGGGCAGGCACATGCTTCCAGTCCGACATGAGGTTCCCCTCAGCGATAGGGGCGTTCATCATGGAAGACAGCAAGCATCCCAACACACAAACAGCAGCAGGAGAAGGCTTTCCGGAAGACTTTCCCTTGTGACCCTTCTTCTTTTCTCCCTTCGAATCACGGGAAGTGGATCGAGAGGTCGACTTGGAACGATCCCTGCTCGATTTGCGATGCTTCCGATCCTTTCCCTGCTTCTTATGCTTGTCTGCGGATGGCTCCCTTGACCCTGGAACGGCCGGCTTCGGGTTGATGTGAGCAAACGGGCAGTTTTCACCACGGTCACACCTCCCCTTGGGTAGAAACGGCACTCTTTCTTCCCCTTTGGGCTATTCGTTCGGCCTTTACCCTTACCCTTCTTAGGCTTAGCGTCCCAGGTCACCCTGAATGATGTTGGTGAGGGCGGACAGCAACTTGGCGTCCAAGGTGAGGAAAGTACCTGGTTCTTTGAGCTCCTCGATCGTAACGGCGGGCTCCCACACTCTGCTGATCCATGTAAAAGCGTCATCGGGGCGATCGGACGCCGCGCACACGGCTTCCCGAACCTTGATGCGCCAATTCCTGTAACTCTCAGGAAGTGGGAAGGAGGGAATGATAATCCTCTCCGCCTCCTTGACCTTGGGCTTGTCATGGTCTGCGTCCACGGTGCTCGCCTGCTTACCCAAGATCTTGTTGAGCTTCTTGCGGATCATTCGTGCTTTCTCCGATGATGATGATGATGAGGATGATGATGTTGAGGAGCTGGACGATGAAGAGCTCGGAGAGTCGGAAGGAGACCCACTCTTTCGCTTCTTGTGGCTCTTCTTCTTCTTCTTGTCCTTCTTGCTCTTCTTCTTTTTGTCCTTCTTCTTCTTCTTCTTGTCCTTCTTGCTCTTCTTCCCATCGTCATTCCCATCGTCATCGTCGTCGTCATGATCATCGTCATCATCGGGATTGCTGGCAGGTGGTTCCCCACCGCCTCCGCTCTGGCCTTTACCTGCGCCTGATGGATTTCCATTTCCATCATTTGGGTCCTGTGCCGGAGATGTCGGTTCGTATTCATCGGCATCCCCGTCAAGATCATCGGCGGCACCTGGCCCATCACGGCGGAGTTCGGTGGAAGCGGACCTGATACGTACCTTAGAACTAAGATCCAGGCCGGGAGGAGGAAACGTCTGTACAGGAGAGGCCTTTGGCCTCAGACCGAAAATCGGAACATTAGAAGAACTACTCTGCTCACTGCGAGATTTCAGTTCATGACGTAGTGCCTCAATGTCCCTCGACTGCTTCATGATAATCTCCCTCATTTCAGCAGCGCTCCTGCCCGCGTCCTCCTTCTGCTTGTTGTGGGTGACTTCCCAAATCAATTTGAGCTGTTCATCTTCTAAGCGTTGAGCAACCCACTGCTGCCTTGCCTCGTTGAACTCTCTTTCCTTCGCCATTGCCTCTTGTTGGCATACATTGATGTGGTTCACCGCGTCCTGATAGAGTCGGCCTTTTTCCTCAACATGGCCGGCTTGGAGCTGATTGATGATGGCGTCGTGGCGTGCCGAAGCATAGGCAGCCACTTCCTCAGTACTCGGACCTGTGTTGACCACATTCACCGTCTGGCTATGTTGATATATGTTCGGGGCGCTCACATGATGTTGATGAAGGTGAGTCTCATTCTTAGTCATGTGCGCGTGCATCTCTTGCCTAGGTTGATGTCCGGCGAGAGGTTCCCCTCCGCTTCCCATTGAATCCTCCGGAAGGACAACCGAAGTGATGGGCACAAGCGCATCGCCTTGGTCGGACTCAGGAAAACTGCTTCGGGAGCGCTGTGACGGATTGCATGGCGGTTTCCCTTCCGGGTGCCCACCCTTGATCAATTCGTTGGCCACTGCTTCGTTCATCCTTGCTATGGCAGGGTGGCATCCGTCGCCGCTTGACGCCATTGCGGCGCGGGTGAGAGCTGACTGTACAAGGTACCAGCGATACGGCTGATAACCTGTTGAAAGGTGGAATCTACCTAAATGTCAGCACGGGCGGCAGTCAATTTTTTCTTGAGCCAGTATCATGTCGGAATGCCACTACCTATCAACAGGGTTCTTGAAAAAAGAGGAAAAACCCTTTAAAGGTTGGCGGGACCAGCTTGAGGCCAAACCCCTTCACGGTTTTATGCAAACCACAACCCAACTGGTAGTAGGACCACCTGCTAAAAGGGCGAATTAGGGGTTTGGACGCTCCAAAAACGTGGCTGAAAAGAAGTGACAGAAGACCCTAAGCAAAGCAAGGCTTAGATCTATCAACCAACCAGTAAGCTTCCACAGTGCAACACTCTGCCCAACCAAACCCCAGCCACTTGGCACGGGTAGAGTGAACAAGCCTTGTCGGGCAGCTTTACCATCCATCGCCCGAAGCCCTCGTTAGTGAGGGGCAGGTTGTTCTGCCAGCCGTTGAACCTCGATGCCACGTGCAAAACGCCTGGAGGGTCACCACTTGAAAGAGCCCCGTCAATTCTTTAACCTCTGAATGGTGGGTCAAAGTGAAACCATTGGGTCGCAAGAAGGGTTTTCCCCAAACAATGTGCTATCACTAAGAGGCTCTTACGGTAAATGTAATGGCCCAGTGCTAGATTGAGGCGCTCGCTCTAACCTGGACATGTTTCGTGGTATTTACGTACGACCGTTACATCATTCATAAAACCTTGAAGTGCATTTCGACTGCGCAGGCTCGCACCAAGCGGTGGCACGAATTTGGTGTCTTTCGAGGGTGTGCTCTCGCTGTGGTACCGTGCGAGTTCCGAAGACGTCTGCTTGGTGAACCCTCCGTGGACTTTGGAGGCGTTGCATCGCTCTTGCTGTGGCGCAGTGCAAAGTTTCAGCATCAAAACCAACCCTCTGCGGACATTAGGTGGGTCGAGTCGCTCTCGTTGCGGTGCGGCGCAAACTTGTAACATCGAAAGTGAACGCTCTGCGGACTTTCGGCGGGTCGGATCACTCTTGTTGTGGCGCGGTGCGAACATTGATCATCGAGAGTGACCCTCTGGGCACTTTGGGTGGGTCGGATTGCTCACGCTGTGCCCGGGGTGCGAGTTTTGAACATGCAAACTGAATCCTCTGCGACCTTGGGTCGGATCGCTCTCGCTGTGGTGCGGTGCGAATCTGGAACATCGAAAGTGATCCCTCTGCGCCTCGCTGTGGCACCGTGCAAAGTGAACGGTCTGCAGACTTTGGGTGGGTCGGATCGCTCTCGCGGTGGTGCGGTGCGAATTTGGAACACGAAAGTGAACCCTCTGCGTCTTGCTGCGGCGCCGTGCAAAGTGAACGGACTGCGGACTTTGGATGGGTCGAATCGTTCTCGTTGTGGTGCGGACTACGCGTGTTCTACCACTACAAGTATAGTCACAGCCACGCAACCCAGTGCGGCCACGCCCCGTGTTGAGACGACAAGAGCATCTTCGCCTGCGCCGGTCGCCCTCGTCGCGCGCTATAGCGGTACGGGCGGCTCTTGCCGTCCACATGGGAGAAAGGGCGCGGCGCAGTCCGCGCCTGCGCTCACCAAGCGCTGAAGTTCAGGCGCGCTCGCGGACACCAGTGCGTCAGTCTGCATCCGCGCTGGACGTTGGCCCGAATGCGCCTTGGCCTGGGATGGTCTTCTCAACACAAAACAGGCTTTCACTATGGAGATCGGGCCATGTTTCGTACATTGATGCTCCACAGCTTAAGCCGCGTCAAGCGCAGGGCTTGTTCTGGAAAAAGGTGTTTGGGCACAAGGCGTTTGACATGCGTTGTCACGCATGGCGTGCGGGACTGGTCTCGCACAGTTTCTGCCCTATTGGAGGCAGCGGCGTGCCACGCCAGCAAGAACGGGGCTTGCGCGGCACCTGTGCTGCAACCTGGGCGCCTGTGTGACGCGTCACCATGGGCGTCACTGGCCTCCGTAGAAACATTGAGCCGGCGTTGGGGCGCTTACTTGGCGCTCGCGCTATCGCAGTGGCTATACCGTGCATCCACTGGCGCATATGTGTAGCTTCAGCAAGTCCTGCTGCTACAACCAGCAACGCGCATTTGCCAGCAGATCTTTGACGCCTTGGATGATACGCTCACGCCGCTTAGCGGTGGAGGCTGCTATACTCTGCGGCTGCGCGAGTGGGAATGTGCGCATGCCGAGTTTCACCCTGCAGCATCGCTGCGCGTCGTGCAAAAGGTCACTTTGCGTTTCCGCAGCTTGCCCAACACTGTTCTCATAGGCTAGTTAACCCCCCCCGTACCCCCCCCTCCCAAATGTCAAAATCTCAGTAAGACTCACCAAGTGTTGCTGAGCACTATCGAGCCCAGCAAGGATTTGGCATGTGGGGGGGTTGCTTCAATTTTGCATAGCAAAGCTTGGATTTGTTGAAGCTTGCCTGGGGCTCGAAGCGTCATTGCATGATACAAAATACTTGCTAAGCCTGGATCGCCCATGTGCTGTGTTCTTGGGGAATGCTGGAGAGGTCCTGGGTGCTACTGTGTGCTACTGAGTGCTACTGAGTGCTACTGAGTGTTGAGCCGGGATTCCAAAAATGTGCTGTTTAGGTTGCGATGGAGTGTTACTGAGTGCTACTGAGTGCTACATGAGTGTTGCTGACTGCTACTGAGTGCTTACTGAGCCGGGATTTCAGAAATGTGCTGTTTTAGGTTGTGATTGAGTGCTACTGAGTGTTACTGAGTGTTACTGAGCGTTACTGAGTGTTACTGAGTCTTTCTGAGTGTTGCTGAATGTTACTGAGTGTTACTGAGTGTTACGCAGTGCTGATGACTGCTGAGTGCCTTTTGACTGCTACTGACTGCTTTCTGAACGCTACTGAGCGCTTGCTGATTGTGCCTGTGCTTTTGAGTGCTACTAGGTCTACATCCGCTGATGTTCAATTCACAGGTGTTCAGTGCGCGGCGCAGTCGCAGCACAGATGACCGCTAAGAAAATGACAGCACACATAGGAATCATTACGGTCCCAACTACACTCGTGATCATTTTTGAGTGGTGGCCATGTCTTCCTGAGAGTTGCTGAGCCTTGCTAGCACTCGAAGCAAAACACGTGATTGACCTTACTAAGGTCCTAAGGTTTGCTAAGCCTTACTAAGGCCTACTAAGGCCTACTAAGCCCAAGATTCCAAATCAATGTGTTTCTTCAGCTTTGGACCCGAAGCCACTCAAAATCACATTTGGAGGGCGGGGGGGAGATACGGAGAGGGGGTTAACTGGCCTATGAAGTTTGGGCTCTCTTGCCGGTGTAATTTAGAAGCCCTCAAAAACTTTTACTCAACATGTTGACCAAACGGCCAACAGACTAACAGGGCTGTGGGGAATGACCACTTCTATGATACAACAGAAAGGGCTTCCCAAAGACTATTTTCTTCATATAAAGGGGGATTCCCTTGTATCACAGAAGTGGTTGGAGAAACCCCTTGATCCCACAACCCCGGCCAACATGACTGAGACTTGGAGGAAGGGATCGCAAACCAAAAAACCAAAGGCCTCACATCATGGCCATCATGAGAACAGCAAGCGCAAGGATCGCACAAAGCCCTGAGCTGCCGGGCTCTCCAATCAAGAAGACCTGCTTGGCATTGGGCAACCACTCGCGGTAGATGTAGCCATCTGGACATCGCCGGACAGTAAAACAAAGCAAAAAACTGAGCGAGACGAGGGCCTGGCGGGCAGGCAAGAAGGCTTCGGGCAAAACATGCCTTGAGGCTGAAAGAGCCAACCTCGTCTCTTTCACAAGGCCGAAAAGTCCAAAATGGCCCAAGTCGGTGTCCTTCCGTGGAAAAAGGCCCAAGTCGTACAGCTCTAATCACAGAACTGAGACCCAAGTGATGGAGCTTTTGGCTGCAGTTCAGAGAGTTTCCTTGGAAAATTTTGATGCTGAGAGGAAATATTCCTAGTTGACTTCCGAAAATTATTAACATAAAACCAAGAAACTTACGGGGGCGGATCAAAAATAGAAAGGTCCGGATGAAAACACGCAAAGCCACGTTCAAAGCTCCTATGGCCATGCATGGTTTCCGTAACAAAATTAAAAACAAAAAAACTATTGTTCGGCTAAAGCCCCTAAGAGGTTGATGACCATGGCTACTGCAAGTACTGCAAGTACAGGGATGCTTTGAGTTGTGACCATGGCACGCATGTAGACTTCTTGCACATCCGGAGCACCGACTATCTGGGCAGCGGGACACCACTGCAAGGGAAACCATTCACTGCCATCTCGCATCAGGATTAAGGCTCGCTTTTGAGTAGCCCAGAATATGTCTGAGGCAACTCCTAGCCGTGCCTTTCTGCTCACTTGTGCCCGTTTCAACAAATGGCAAGTCGGTCGCCAGCCAAAGAGCTCCCCCCAAAACGGCCCAGTCGCCGTCGCCTTCTACTCGGTTGAATCCGAAGATCTTGTACCCTTCGGCGAACTCCTCCATGCCGCCTTCCTTCTCCGTCAGCTCGTTCTTCCACCACCTGCAGAAATCGATTGTTTAATTTGGTGTTCGGGGAGTGGGTGTCCCTAGTTTGACACATACCCAATTGTACGCGCATCCTTCTTGGTACCCTCCGCACCAACGTGGCATTCATTCAAGACGAAAGTCATCTTCTGGTGCTGCTGCAAATGGAGAAACTGGGCCAATCCATGTGCCAACGTGTGCAGGATTCTGTCCATCCACAATTGAAGGGGAGGAAGGGTATTCTAGCGCTCGGGAGTCGTCAGATCACAAGCCCGGATTGAGGCCATTGCAAGCCCATTCATGGCAAAGCCAAACTGAGCCCCCAAGTGGCGAAATTCCTAAGCTTGATCTCTTTTTGGAGCGCGGTGTCCCTTTAGCTTGCCTTTCGGCCCAAAAAAGTGCACCCATGCATTTTGTGTGGCACCCAAAGCTATACAAGATGGCACCAAGTGTTTAACCAAAACTTGAATTCGAGTTCTCCCGCCAGCGGCTTGAGAAGACCGGGATCGGCACATCTTTCGGTTGCCCAAGCCAATGCTGAGCCGGCTTCCCCAGGCTTTGCTTCGCAGCAGCCATCACGCCATCACGCCATTCGCAAAGTATTCGCTGGAATATGATGGACATGCTCAGTAAATAATGGGCAAGATTGATGGATAGGTGCGTTTTGGTGACAAAATGGCAACCATCTTTGGGTCACGACCCCCAAAGACTGACACCGAGCCAGACCTTCTGGAACAGAGTCCCGAGGGCCAAAGTCAATTCGCTGACGGATTCGTCTACCTGAGGATACCCAAAGTGGGGATCCTATTCATCGACCCAGTTGTTTCAGGGGCTGCTTGGATTTCCCCGATCAATGTACTGGCGGTGTCCACTAAAACGATCGCCGCTTCTGGAGGTTCCCTTTAAATGGCTCGGAAATCCTGTGGTAACCCTGGGTTCCCATGATTTGCCTGGCTCAATATAAAGCCAACCCCAATTCCCAACGCCTGTCGGTGTCCTTTTCAGAAAATGGATGGATTTCCCTGGTAACTGGGTAGTGAAACCAATTCAAAACAGCGGACCCCATCTATTTCTGAAACCTAAATGATCAAAACCACACCTGTGCCAAAACAATGAGTGCCTTTCTTTCCCAATAGCCACTGGGTAATACTGCCAACTAGGTCCTCCAGTACAGAGCTTAGAATAAGGGTACCCTTTTTTCTGTAGTCCATTTTAGTAGGGGAACCCTCCCCCAAAAGAAGGGGGTAAAAGGGCACTACTGGGGGACCTAGGCCAACAAACGAGTGCCAATTCGTTTCTCCTGGTGGACACCATTGATTCCTGAGCCAAGAGTTTAAACCCGCGGTCCCCTGGGTTCCCATGATTTCTATGCCCCAATCAACCATCTGCCGATGGATTTCCAATATGCCGCAGCGACCCATCTGTGGGGCCCGGCCTGTAGCCATTGACCCGATCCCAAATCTGGCCCTCGCAGCCGCGCAGGGTGGAGTCGATCTCGAAAATCTTCAGCGACATGGCGGAAATCTCTCAGCGCGCGCGATCGTTACCAAAGAAAAGGGGACAGGTTCTAAATCCGAAAACTGGCAGCGAAAGCTGCGAACATCGAACAATCTGGAGACCCACAACTCGAATGAAGGTGTCTGGAGCAGAACTGCTGCAGTGTTCAAGGCGGGGCGAGCGTACGGCTTCGCACTGGCGCCATGCAAAGCGGGAGTTACAGGGAATGGGTCAGCCCGGTCAGCCCTCTTGGGCCTTGCCTCACCAACCCCCGTTGGATCAACGTGCGAATTCGCCCAGCCCTGGCAACCGGCTGATCCGCTCCAACTGGCTTCCTTTCCGAAGCTCCCAAAGACGCAGCGATTGCAAACGCCAGGCCACTGCTGACCCAACGTCAAAATGAAGGAACCCTCAACTGGGTGGGCTTCCTGGGGGGGGGGGCCCAGGGGGCCTCAAAAAGACTGAAAAAAAGCGATGGGCAACATAAGAACAAAGATCCCAGGTTCACGAGGAATGTACAACTCAGCAAGACTCTGGAAAAACGGGAGCCCGTTTCAAGCATGGACCCACATATAGTTTTCCTTCTGGCTCTCCTTTGAAAACCACTTAAAAGGGGTCGCTAATTTGAGGAAGCTGCGGCTTCACTGAACAACCCAGCCAAGGCGTGCCAATTTTGGGTGGGTGGGGGGAGTGGGGGTGAGGGTGTGTAGCACAGGTGTGCTATGCATTTCACATGTTGGCCCTCTCCGTGCCGCTGTCCTCAATCCCCAAACAGCGATTGCAACCTGTCCCCAAGAGGCCATGACTGCGACACGGCTTGGCGGGCGACTCTTACCTTGCTCCAGCCAAACCGCCCGACTGATACCTTCTGCAGATTCGTTCACAAGCAGTAAAGAAGATCAAGGGACGCAGGAGCCAGAGAGAAGGAGAGCAGCCAGAGAAACAGAGCGAGTGAGAGAGAGAGAGAGAGAGAGAAAGAGAGCGAGAGAGAAAGAGAGAAAAGGAGAAAGAGAGAAAGAGAGAGAAAGAGAGAGAGAGAGAGAGATGTGTGAGCAAACGTAGTGTGCTTTCAGCAGAAACACTAGACCACGGTTGGCCCGAAACCATAACATCGCAAGCGAGGTCGGCCCAACGCCTGGGACATGCGCGAATTGCTCTGCGCAAGTTGCTTTGCGCAAGTTGCTCTGGGCAAGTTGCAGTGTGTGCAAGTTGCTCTGCGCAAGTTGCTCTGCGCAAGTTGCCCTGGGCAAGGTGCGCTGCGCAAACTGGTCTGTGCAAGTTGCTCTGCGCAAGTTGCTGTATGCAAGTTGCTCCGCGCAGCTTGCGACGCTCGCCCGCGGACCAGGGAGGAATCGAACCCGCGACCCGCCGGTCCCGGGAGCAGGCGTGCGAACCACGAGACAACTCAAGGACCAGCTCGAACAACAAGAGTCGCAAAAAACCTCGAGTTTTTGCAAAAAGCCTGAAGTTTTTGCACCTCGACCACGAGCACCGCAGAAATCGCAAAACACCTCGAGTTTTTGTACCTCGACCACCCCGATCCCCGCAGAGGGTCACGCGAGCACCGCAGAAATCGCAAAAAACCGACCACGCCGATCCCCGCAAAGGGTCGCGCGGGCCCAAACAAAATCGCAAAAACCCTCGAGTTTTTGCACCTCGACCACGCCGATCCCCACAGAGGGTCGCGCGGGCCAAAACAAAATCGCAAAAAACTCGAGTTTTTGCACCTCGACCACGCCAACCGCCGCAGAGGGATTTTCGTAGAGTGTCGTCGGCACTACCCCGCCGCCCTAAGAAGAGATTTTAACTCCTCGCAAGTCACTCCTTGCACTTGCAACTTGCACTTGACTCCTTGCACTTGCAACTTGCACTTGACTCCATGCACTTGCAACTTGCACTTGACTCCATGCACTTGCAACTTGCACTTGACTCCATGCACTTGCAACTTGCGCTTGACTACATGCACTTGGCTCCTTGCAACTTGCACTGACTCTCATGACTCCTTGCAATGACTCCTTGCAATGACTCTCATGAGAACAACTCAAGTGAACCCAGCGGAAGAACCCTTCGCAATGCTTTCGGGAAAGCAGGCCATTGCGGGTTCGCTTCCTTGTGTGTAGCACGTGTTACCATTTCAGCCAGAAAATATCCAGGCGCCCAACATCTGGCAGCCTCCTTCTCGTTTGGGCCAGCCACTTGCTCTCCTGCTTTCCTGGAACTTTGTTTTGTTTGTCCCTTGCGACCCGCACCCATTTCAAACCATAAGCTGAAAGGAAACCAATGGGAAATCAACCGACCGATTCCTAAAACGTGCTGCACCTACAGAGACCTCCCTTTGCCGTTTTAGCAATGTCTTGGCGCCCTTCCAAAGGGCTCAGATGCACAGGTGTGTACATGTCAAGATAGGGTGACCCAACCAAAGGCAGTTTTCCTTGCGGTTTCCCCTCAAACCAAGCCCAACAGGTACCTGCTGCTTCCTCGTTCAAATTCGTACAAGGGCGCACCTTGTACAAGCCAAAAGCTCAAGTGAAGCCTTGCCAATGTTTTGAGTAATGATCACACTGCGCGCTCTGGCTTTTGCCTGTCACTTTAGTGATGGCATGTCGGAGGTGAGACCGTCGATTTTGAAATGGATGTTACTTACAGGCATGCAGGCTCGCAGGTCAGGTGAGCACAACCCTCACTGCGGCTCTTCGGCTCCTGTCACAGAGCAAGACACTGTGGGCAAGCGGGTGTATTGTTCTTTAAATTGGGGGTGTCCCGTTTAAAGAAATGCCATGTCCCAGGTTCTCTTTGGGAGTTGGGTTTGTGTTTTATGAGGGCACCCTGTCCACCTTGGTTTAAAGGCGGAAACCAAAAGAACTCCGCCACGCATCAGGGATCCTTACATTATACACCTGACCATTGCAACTTGTAAATGGTGGGTTCCCTTTGTTTTGGTGGAAAAAGCCATGTTTCAAATGGGCAAAATATATCTTTTAAGGAGCCCTGTGTAAGTTGTAGTAATTTGCCCGCCGATCCAAACGGCCACTTTCATTCGGGAAGGCTTTTGTCTCTGCTGCACTCCGTCTGGCAACACGATTCCTCCAAGCTACGTAGCTCACCCATCCCAGCTCAGCCATCCCGCCCATCCCACCCATCCCGCCCATCCCACCCATCCCATCTTAAACATCACCACTACCAAGGGAAGCTCACCTGAGACACTCCAACCCATCCCGCGCCTCCTGTCTCCGCCTCCGCCTCCGCCTCCGCCTCCGCCTCCGCCTCTACTTCCAGGCGGGAGGCCATGAACCGCCGCACCAGCTTCATGGGCTCCGCAGACAGTTCGAACCTTAGACCGGTCGCTCGATCGATCCGCTCGATCCGCTGGTCGGGCGGGTGTGGTTCCGTTTCTTCTTTGGAAGCTCGGTGCCCCTTTTTGGGGTGTGGGGAGAACAAGGCGAAGACCCGGAAAACCGCCAGTTTTCAGGGAGAGACAAACCAGAGTTACCACACCTACATCCCCTGGCTGAAATCCACAAGTGGAGGTCGGAAACTACGAGCTCCAAGGCGCCCTGATGGGTTGACCAGCTTTCTGCTGGCAACCTGGAGCGCTAGGCTTTTGAAGCCTCGCAGAGATGGGTGTGTCTTTTTTGAGGGAAACCAACTGGTAAACCACATTTTTCCAGGTCCTTCACCAAAAAAAACGAGACCCGGATTTAATCAGTTTTTCGCTACGCCTCACCAAACTGCCGTTTCAAGGGGCCGCCCCCGACCACTGGATCCGAGCCCCCCGCTGCGCCTCTGGAAAGAGCCGGAAGCGGAGCTGTACCCCAGCCTCCTCTTTGGCGGGCGGGGTGGGGTGGGGTGGTGGGGTGGGGTGGGGGGCTGGGGGGGTGGGGTGGGGTGGGTGGGGTGGGGTGGGGTGGGGTTGGGGTTGGGGTTGGGGTGGTTTGGGGCAGGCCAATAAGTTGGTTTCCCTTTGCTTGCTGGTTCGATAGGCAGGGAATGAAGAAATGACTTTCCGTAAAGCAACCCTTGTGGTTTCCGGGAAGGGAATCGCAAAGTTCATTCCCAACGAACCCTGGGTCATTGCCTACCTGTCGCACCAGCAAGCTTGGTTTCCCTTTAAAATCACAAAAAAGTGGGAGCTCTCTTCAAACAAAAACAGGGGCCAGACCCCGGAAAGCTCACAGGTTGTTCCTTGGTTTAGGAGAAATTTCTAGGGGTAGCTTCCCCATTCTTTTCTTCTTTCTAGAAAACCACCAAAAACCCTGGGGATGGCTGGTTTTGGAAAAGAATGATGGCTGAAAAGAATGAAAAAGGAATCAACCCCTAGAAAATTGAGTGAGTCCCACCGCCTGCAGCATCTTCGCCTGCTCCGCGGCCAGGAGCGGGTCCACCACGGCGTCCCGGGCCCCGTGCACCCACAGCAGCTCCTTGCTTCGCCCCCGTCAAAAACGTCGGGGGACACGTCCCGCAGCCCCAAAAATGGGTGGCCCACCTCGCATCCAAGAACCAAACCACGTGTTTTTCAGGGAAGGTGGTTTGCATTGGAGAGATTGAACCCATGGCTCGTAAACGGGAAACTACCAATTAAAAGGAAGCTGATGAAATGCAGACCTGTCAAGCCCTGGAGCCCACAACGGACTCCAGAAACCCCAAAGCCAATCTCATGAAGTTGGCTTTCTTTGCAACATCGGCCGACATTTTCGGCGCGTGGGGTTTGGGAGGAGGGGGGGAGGCTGGCAATTTGATGATGTTCCACTACAAGTAATCTGCGGGAGTCGGCGTTGAAAACAAAACGATGTTGGTTCCAAACATGAGACAGTGTCTTTGCAGTTGTGTTGAACATCTGCTTTGTCAGGCCTCACTGATCCCCATCCATATGCTGCCCGGTTTCAACGCGCTTCGAGCCTAGGTTGCCTTTTCGGGCAGATTTTTATGCGCGGTGAGAAGTGACCCTGAAGAGGGTGCTTTCAAGGGGAGGTCAAAGGCAAAAAGTGGCAAAAAGCCGAAAAGCCAAGCACAAACTACCCAGAAAAATCCCGCAAGAAAGGGAAGAGGAAGCTCACTTGTAGAAAAGCATTGCCTGAAGACGGGACACATCAGCCAATCCGGCTGCATTGAAGCTTGTGAAGCGTCCTTCCGTGAGAAACGGGGCGCCAAACACGTAGACGCCAAACACAATTATGTGTATATACATACATATATATATATATATATATGGTCACCCCCCCCCCCAGGGCCTACCTTTCTACTTGTTGCATAAAAGAGATTTATTTGCAAATGTTCAGTGTCCACTTGGTTTGCAGATGCCTTGCAGAAAACACTGTAATTTACGGTGTTTTTGTGCATTGTTTGATATTGTCTCAGATGTGCTTTCTATACTTGATGCAAAACAGGATTCGAGAAAGCAACAAACACGAAAACGGAAAGCGTTTTCAGATGCAACTTTGTCAGTGTCAAAAACACCGTTATTTGCAGTGATTTTGAAGGAAACTGCAAAAAAGCACCTGTTTCTTACGTTTTTTGATGGTTTCAGCCTCAAAACCTGCACAGGCTCAAAAAATGCAAAAAAACCAAACCTGGAAGCTCCAAAACCTGCACAGGCTCAAAAAAATGCAAAAAATGCAAAACCCAGATACAATGTCAGAGGTCAGGGCTTGATTGGTCTGGACTTTTGCATTTGTTGCATTTTTTGAGCCTGTGCAGGTTTTGGAGCCTTAAATGTTTAAAACCTGCACAGGCTCAAAAAAATGCAAAACATGCAAATCCCAGATGCAATGTCAGAGGTCAGGCTTGATTGGTCTGGACTTTTGCATTTTTTGCATTTTTTGAGCCTATGCAGCCTTGGATGTTTAAAACCTGCACAGGCTCAAAAAAATGCAAAAAAAAATCCAAACCTGGAAGCTCCAAAACCTGCACAGGCTCAAAAAAAATGCAAAAAATGCAAAACCCAGATGCAATGTCAGAGGTCAGGGCTTGATTGGTCTGGACTGGGGAGTCTGGGGATATGTGCCCTTTATTTGTTTAGCCACATTTAAGCTAAATCATATTTGGGAATGAGTTACTATTAAAATTTGATTGCAAAGGCCAAGTGATTTCTTTCCAGAATAAGCTATATTCCAATTCAAGCTGTATTTGGGGATGGATTCTTGATTGAATTATTATGTTCAAAAGCTAATTGAACTCTGTCCGCATTAAAGTATATTTGGATTCTACTGCAATCATATTTTCCTTATTTGGAAAGGTATTCCTGTTCAAATTCTGATCTAATATAGACATTATGGTGAATTATGAATGGTGGTGAACTATGTGCAAACTAAGTTCTATTCAATATGCAAATTCAATTCGGATCAAAATCGTATTTGGAAAGGAATGTGTACTTGGATATGTTGGACTCCAGGCTCCAAATTATGAGGCTTGGAGAATCCAACATTAGACATTCAAGGATTCTGATCTCCAGATTCTAGGTTTCAGGTGTTTCAAATTGGACATTTCAAGGGATTAGAGATCCAACAAAATGCTGTAAAACACAGTGTTTTGCAGCAGTTGCTCAGATTGTGTTCCCTTGGACCGAATGGACAGCCTTTGATATAACAGTGCAGCAGTGATGACACACCCACACACAATCATCAACCTTTTAGGACCACATGCCCAAACCACATCAAACAAGGCCTCAAATGAGTGTCCTTTTTTTCCCAAACAACAGTCTCCACTTGCTACGCAATAAGCCTACAGAAGGTTTATAAACTTTCAGGAAAGTTTATAAACCTTATTGAGTGTTTGACGAGTTTCCCGCATCAAGGCAACAACACCCTACGAAGTGTTCATGGTATCGTTGAAGGAGGGGGGGGGGGTGGTTGGAAATTTTGGGAGGGGGGGGGGGGGTGGTTGGAAGTCTTAGCAGTGAGGTGTGACTCAGCCAACTTTGTAAAGACTTCTCAGTACCCCCCCCCCCCCCGTAAAGAGTTCTGACCCCCCCCTGCCCTTGTTGCAGGGAAACCGTCAAACCCTTGACATGGTTTATAAACTGTCTTGTAAGTTTATAAACTCTTTGCTGTTGTTACTCAACATGACTTGTCACCCACAAAAAATATGCAGCAACAGCACACTTCTTGCGTATATATGCTCACACGCCCTGTCTTTTAAAATAAGAGGGTTTTGTACATTTTGAAGTGCAAAGGTAGGCCCTGGGGGGGGGGGGGTGAGCATATATATATATATATATATATATATATGTGTGTGTGTGTGCATCTATATGCATTTACAAATCCAACCGCCCATCTCACAAGGCATCGCTCGGCTTGGCCGCCGGGCGGTGCTTTTGCCGCCCTCGGTGAGAGCCTCCCCGAGGTCCTGGCTGGGTTTGGATCACAATTCCTCGAGGCTGCCCTCCCGGCTGACGTGGCGGTATAGAATGTCCCAGGTATACATTGAGCGCGTCCTTCTTGTAGAGTTGGAACCCTTTTCTTGTGGTTCTCAGGGATGTCGCTGGGTCTAATACAAGACATAGAAGCTACCAGGTTCTTTGTTCAGGAACGTCCTCTTCCCAGTGTTGGGAGCTGCCATGTGCGGGAGGGAAAGTATAAGAGTTGCGGGGTACAAAAAAAGAAGAAGAAGGAAAAAAAGGAGAGAAAGAAGAAAAAAGAAATCGGTGATTGTAGAAAACGAAAGGTGACCCCGAATGAATCAACCGAATGTAGATGTATTGGGGCTGTTTCCCGTGTAGGATCCAAAACAATTGGATATTCCCATATTTTTCAACCAGTGGTTGATTTATCCGGGATCAAAATTACCGTAAACATTGCATGCCAAAAACCACCCGGCTACATTGTAGCAGCTGTAGCATGAACAAGGCGGAACCATCCACTGTTGAAGTCTAATCGCGGGTCAAACTGACAAAAGAATTAAGACACAGCCCGGTGGACCTGTTTTTGGAGGGGCGGGGGGTTGCTGACGAAAAATATGCCGAGCCATGAAAGGACCCCTTTGCAAGGGATCTGCATAAGCGGATAGCCCAAGAGCCGTCAATCGTCGCTCAAGACGAGAGGGGAAACGGAAGTGGCCTTGAAAATGGGCAGCCAGCCATTTTCCTGTTGGGCTCCCTTGGTTATCTATACAGGGAAATGGAATCACTGGGAACAAGCATTCTGGGTCAAAACTAGTCACCAGGAATTGGGCCAAAGCAAGTTTCAGTCTTTGTCTCCATTTGTCGATCGGGCAACCCACTTTGGGGTTACCCTATTTTTCACCCACACCCAAATATGAAGGCAGGTCGTGGTTGACGCTAGGAGAGTCTTGTGTGAGGATACCCTTCTTGGGTTGTTCGAAAGGAACAAAATGGAAAAGGCAAACCACACATCTTGAGACAAGCCCGCATGTGCCAATGGGTAAAGGTCCTTGAAAGAATTAGAGCCCCAAGTCCCTCCCAATAAACCACACGTTCCAGCAAAAATGGGGGACCCCAAAATGATGCTAGATCTTCCTTCTTCTTCCCTGTTGGTCACCTCAAAGAACCTGCACCGTCCAAAAAATTAAACACGGCGCAAGCGACGGGACTTGACCCAAAAATCCACCGATTTCGGATTCGCCTCGGGGCAGGGCAGCCATCCGCTGCAAACGATGCCTCGCATCAGCGGCTTGGAGGTTTGGGGAGACCCGAGAGGGAGCAATTGAACGAGCCCAAAATTGAGGGTGTGTCTTGGGTTTTTGTTGACCCGGAACCAGTGGGTTTCCTCTTGGTGTCCCTTTAGACCAACCCTTAAGGGTGCTTAGCCGACTTAGCTCGCTTTTGTGGAAATCAGAATTGGGTGGGGAGTCATGTTGACCACTTTGTGAGGTGGTTCCCGGCCAAAAATCATAGCCATGTTCTCTGCACTCAAAGATGCTAAAAGGGTCGCGTTGATTCCGACAGGGTCGTGAAAGCAAATTGATTCATGAAGATAGGGCTAGACTATTGCTTATTGCTTGGCCCTTTTTGAGGGGTACCCTTGATAGGGTCGGTTTCAAAAGGGGGGGGGTCTCCTGGGCGTCTTGACACCACATCTTCTTGTCTTCCCAATTTTGGCCGGAGTTGAATCAACATGTCCAGGAATCAGGACGGGCAACTTCGTTTGATCTCTGTATCGTGGAAACTCATGCATTGGGACACCACTAAAACAAGAGAATGCTAGCTAATCCCCAGTACATCTCTCTACTTCATAGTTATAATTCTAGAATTTGGGAAAGATAGGTGACAGACAAGAAGTCGTGCTAACCCTAAAGTGGCTTCTGAGACCACTTTCATGTTTCACGTTGAGAATTTTGCGGATGGTATCTCGGGTGGGATAGCTGTTCATCGCATCAAAACCTTGTAATTCCAGAACATCAGATTCTTGGTAAGAAATAAACAAGTGACAGGATCAAAGAAATAAGATAACGGAGAAAACCTTCCAAAGACAGTCTCAGACATGGTTCTGCTGTTAATTCCAAATAACAAACCCAACAACCCCACAAACAACCCAACAAACAACCCAACAAACAACCCAACAAACAACCCAACAACACAACCCAACAACAACAAACAACAACAACAACAACAACAACAACAACAACAACAACAACAACAACAACAACAACAACAACAACAACAACAACAACAACAACAACAACAACAACAACAACAACAACAACAACAACAACAACAACAACAACAACAACAACAACAACAACAACAACAACAACAACAACAACAACAACAACAACAACAACAACAACAACAACAACAACAACAACAACAACAACAACAACAACAACAACAACAACAACAACAACAACAACAACAACAACAACAACAAACAACAACAACAACAAACAACAACAACAACAACAACAACAACAACAACAACAACAACAACAACAACAACAACAACAACAACAACAACAACAACAACAACAACAACAACAACAACAACAACAACAACAACAACAACAACAACAACAACAACAACAACAACAACAACAACAACAACAACAACAACAACAACAACAACAACAACAACAACAACAACAACAACAACAACAACAACAACAACAACAACAACAACAACAACAACAACAACAACAACAACAACAACAACAACAACAACAACAACAACAACAACAACAACAACAACAACAACAACAACAACAACAACAACAACAACAACAACAACAACAACAACAACAACAACAACAACAACAACAACAACAACAACAACAACAACAACAACAACAACAACAACAACAACAACAAAACAACAAACAACCCAACAACAACAAAACAACAAACAACCCAACAAACAACCCAACAACAACAAAACAACAAACAACCCCAGCAAACAACCCAATAATCAACCCCGACAAAAAACCCCAGCAAACAACCCAACAATCAACCCAACAAACAACCCGAGCAAACAACCCAACAATCAACCCCAACAAACAACCCCAGCAAACAACCCAACAATCAACCCCAACAAACAACCCCAGCAAACAACCCAACAATCAACCCAACAAACAACCCCAGCAAACAACCCAACAATCAACCCCAACAAACAACCCCAGCAAACAACCCAACAATCAACCCCAACAAACAACCCCAGCAAACAACCCAACAATCAACCCCAACAAACAACCCCAGCAAACAACCCAACAATCAACCCAACAAACAACCCCAGCAAACAACCCAACAATCAACCCCAACAAACAACCCCAGCAAACAACCCAACAATCAACCCCAACAAACAACCCCAGCAAACAACCCAACAATCAACCCCAACAAACAACCCCAGCAAACAGCCCAACAATCAACCCCAACAAACAACCCCAGCAAACAACCCAACAATCAACCCCAACAAACAACCCCAGCAAACAACCCAACAATCAACCCCAACAAACTATCCCAGCAAACAACACATATATAAATCTAACCCAACAATGGGATTTCCCCAACCCTTTCAGGGCGTCCCACCATCCCTTGCTCGGATCGATCGCCTCCAGCCAAGGCATCCTTGGACTGAAGCACCTGAGGGCTGACTCAAGCGTCCGATAGACGGGTCCCGAAACGGCAAAGGGGCGTGGTTGTCAAAAATAGGTACCCAAAATGGCTTGCCCTTGCAAATGGAAACAAGGACTAAAACCTGTGGTCCCTTGGTGGTTCAATTTTGACTCATACCCACCTCGCATTTGCCAAAGTCGAAAAGTTGAGCGCTTCTCCAAGTTTGAGAGCGTGCTGTTTTGTGCGCCTTACTCGGAACTGTCCTTGCGGATCTGCGCAGTCCTGAATGTAGTTTGGGGCGTAAAAGATGGATTAGTAAAGTGGAAGTAGAACGCGGGCCGACTTGACGACTGAAACTAGGCCAAACGGTTTTCAGGCTTCTGTGGTTGAAATTTGGGTTGTCCCCTCTTCCACGCAAACCAACCGTAAACGACCCAGCAATACCGTCAGCTCGTTTCCCACGCTTGACGCCAACCCCGGGCATTGACGTCTGTTCCCCAAAAAAGCACAAAACCGCTTCCCGCGCGCGCGGTTCCTTGTTTTCTTTCGCAAACGAGCTCAAGGAATAAGCATCCAACACAACAGGGATTCGGCGATAGCTCGTTTCTCATATATATATATACACATCTATATATATATATATGGGTGCCGACCAAGGGAAACCCTTCAGCCCACAGGAGGGGGCATGGTGGAAACTTCATAGTTTATCTTGCGCGGCCTCGACATTTTGCCGCTGTTTGTCCCAGACGCCAAAAGGATTTCGCGCGCAGTCGGGCTTGCCTTGACCAATCCCAATCCGTGGAAAACTGTGCAGTGTGGAAACATCGCAGAACATCTTTCTGTCCCTCTGCTGACTGCCCCCAGGGATATCTTACCGCCTATTTTAAGAGTTCCCAAAAAAAGGAACGTGTCCACAATTGTTGGAAAGAGGAACGGACGTATCTCCCAAACTCTCACCACTGGGCCCGGCGCCGTCTTCAGGGCGAGCGCTCCCCCCATGCCGAAGCCCCCCACGAGAATCCGGCACCGCTCATGGCCCTCGGCCTCGAAAAAGAAAAAGCGATCTCCTTTTGGACGCCCTTTGGGAAGCTCCTCGTGTGGTGCTTCATGGTTGTGGCGTCTGCGGCTTCCTTGTGTATTTTTCTTCATGTCCAGTGGGAAATGGAATCCACTTCTGTGATACACCAAAAAGGGCTTCCCAAAGACTAACCCCCTATATAAAGGGGGAGATTCCCTTGTATCACAGACGTGGGGGATAAACCTCTTGATCCCAAAACCCTGTTCATGTCTGTAGCTTTCTTGAAAAATCGCCGTTGGAATCTGTAAGAAAGCCGCTAGAGTTCACCAAGTGTTGGCTGAGCTGGTCTTCAAGCTTCCCAGATTTTGGAGCTAGCAAGCAAAAGGCGTGGCTTGACAGCGCAACATCTCGAAATCAGACAAACCGATAAACCCCTTGTTCGACATCCGTGTTTGCCTGATTGGCCCCAAAAACTGGTTGGGGGCCGAAAAAGCGAGGTGCCCAACATCCCTGTGCGTACAGCCCATAGTTGAGTTCAATCCATCTCTCAAATGCCAAGCCATACGCGCAATCCAAGTTGTGTGAGTGTGTGCGTGTCATGCAAGGTCTTTTCAGAATCCGGGCACCAAAAACGGCGGCACTGGGGTCTCCCAAAACGGGGACATATTTTTGGCATGAAGCAAAGATGAGAAGAGAGTGTGGCGCGATTTCTTGGCGACGACTGAGGATCGAGTCGGAGCTGAGTCCCACTGGAGCTGGGCACATGGGTTCCCCAAATAGGGAGCCTCGAATTGGTAGTTCATGTCGACCCCGGATTAATGTACTCGGTGTACCCCCTCCAATAGTGATGAATCCGCCAAAAACCAGGGACACCCCATTAAATGTGTTCTTGTTGTATCCGGAGCTTGCATTACGTGTTTCCCCCCCCCCCCCACGCAAACCAACCTAAAAAGGGCGCCATCAAAAACAGACACGCCACATGAAGTCTTGCTGGACAAGCTGGAGGCTCACCAGAGTGCAATGCCAAACAACAAGGAACTGCGTCACTGGGGACAAATTGTGCCCGAGAGAGGCTTATGGGATTGAGATAGGGGCGTGTGATGTCTTGTGCTTCCGCCTGCATCCAGTTTTCAGCCCAGAGGGTGCAAACGGCAAACCTAGACATGGGGCAAGCGGACAGGAAACAAATGCTTTTCTTCTAAAGGAGGTTACAAACGGGGACAACAAAAAGTGCATCCCTTTTAGGATGTTAATAAATTAAAGGTTTATTTGATTGCTATTGTTAGCATTGCCAATCAACCGCTCATCCTCTTCTCGTGCTCAGATTGCGCCCTTCCCCAAAAACATGGCCCAAGCTCCCACGCCCGCGTAAGATTGCGTCCCTGGATGGTCACAAAGCAATTTATGTTTTCAGGCTGGTCCGCAACCAGCGTCCTCACGATCCCTGGAAGAACTCTTGCGCCCTCTGATTTTCGCCCCAAAGGAATCATGTCGACCCTTTGGAGCAACCCCCGCCTCCAGCGCGCGGATCACGGCCTCTACCCGCTCCACGGCGGCAGCCACATCTTCAGGGTCCTCGCCACAGGTCTGCAAAGAAAGACTTCCCAACGGAGTTGAGACATGGCATCCTCAACAACTGACGCACCCCTATGCGCCATCATCAAAACTCCATACTGCACCACAAAGGTGAGCCAGCCGTGCGCTAATTACAGATAGCCGCATGCGCTGCAGGGTGCCAGCCGCAGAACAAAACTGACCGCAGCTATTGCATTCGACGCTAGGCGAGTTGCACACCATCGGCCTAATGTTAACCCAGGATTAATAAACCCGTCCCATTATTCGGGGGGTGTTCCCTCCACAAGCGATGAATCCCCACTAAAAGGGGACACCCCCCTATTAATCAACCAGGGTTTACTAATCCGGGGTTAACATTAGACACCACGCAGTTTCACCTCAGCATGCAAATCTTAGTTCAAGCACTGCTCCAAGAACTCCTCCGATCTGCAAAAGGGCGCATCTGATGCGCCCTTGCATGCAGGGCGGCGGGGACAAGCATGGCATGACAGATGTGCGCTTTTGCAGCTACCAGTTCCTGCGCCCCGGTCTCAACGCATTCTAGGATCACATAGGCGCACACAAAAACACAAAAGCCTCACCACGCTCGGCACGGCTGGAGGCAGTCTCGCCTGTTCATTTGCTCCCTAAAAAGCTTTTGGTTACTAGGAATGGATTCCTTAGGTATGGATTCCTATTCAGGGAAGCCTGATCATGACCCGTAAGAGTGTTGATATGTCGCAACCCCAGGTGGGCAGCACAGATTGCTTGTCGGAAAGGACCAGGTGTGCAGGGTGGATCAGCCGGGGCCCAGCTCGTGCTGGGAGTGTTAGAGCTCTCAGGACTCCCTGCGACAATCAAGACAGGACCAGCGTACCAGTTGGGACGTGGCAAACCGGCAAACGGGTGAATGCTGCACCCTCGCCGCGAGGCGCGAGGGAGACTGTGAAGAGCAGCTTGGGCAGGCAAAGTAGCTGCCGGCGTGGAGCATGGTTGTCCATATGGTTGGTTTTGACCATTGCACATGCTTCCGGCGCTATGCACGCGTGTCTGGGTGTATCCAGTGGATGTTTGAGGAGAAACAGCTGGCGGAAAAAGAAACACTCCAGCATCTCGTTCACTCTCCGAAGTTGCGTTTCCACCTGTCCATGGGATTTGCATGAAAAGAGCAAATGCCTTCGGTGAAGATCACCAACAAGCGCAATCTCCGAATTTTGCTTTCCTGATACTCTGAGTATCATAGCCTCCCGTCCTTGTTCAAACATGGGGTCCCGGACCCCACCAAATTCCTCTTTAAACCTTCCGGACAATGCCACCCTCAAAAAACACACATACACACAAACGTGTGAAACAAAGACGTTTGAGTGAAGTTGCCCAGTCAAGTTCATTGGCAACCTTCGGACCTTCGCTTCCCGCTCCGGGTCCTCCCCTACGCGCGGCCGGTCGGGAAGGTCCCTCACAACCCGGCAGATCGGGTATTCCTGGCACAGGCGTGCGCCATGTTCACTCTGGGAGTACCTTATGTTGAGGCTAGCCTTCAATGAAGTGTTCCCCCTGTGTTAGACACCCCTTGGAAATCGTTCCTGCGTGGCAAAGGGCCAACCGGCCTGCGCTATGTGTGGTGTCAAACTCCGAAAACGTGAACCACGGATATGCTTCGGGTGTTTGGGGTGCTGTACACTGAAAGCACACACCTATGCGGGGGGCTGCGCGGTAGTTTTTTCCGATACGAATTTAGCCGTGCAACATTTTGGACCACTGGCGACGCACGTTTGGCTGGGTGTTCGCCCCAGGGGTATCAATGCAACCCTGACAGCTGTCCAGTGTGAGCAAAAAAACAGATAAATGGTCATTTCATTCCATAAAGGAACAACAATGAAGGAACAAACAAAGGAATAAGAAGGGTTCTAAAGAAGCAAGGCTTCTCATTCAACAAGAAAGCGAAAACCAAGGCGGAACGAGAGAGGACACAAACAATCAGGGGGTCACTGGATCTCCCCTCCGAAAGTTGATCATTGTGTTGGTGGTGTCCCTTGAAACTGCGACTTTTTGGAGGCTCCAAAAGGGAAAATGGCTCGGAAACCCTGAAACCGCATGCCTTGACGTCGAACCACTGCAGCACCAGGCTGTGCCCGCGGATGCTACTGGGCTGCAGGGGCGCCCTCGGCCTCAGTGGGCGGCTTCTCAAAATGATGCCCCCCCCCTTCAACAGGGTTGACAGGGAACGGGAAAGCGAAGGAACCCGATTGTATTGAGGGAACCAAGGAAAACCGAAATCCTTTTTCTTTCTTTTTTTGGGGGGGGTCACACAAAAGCTTAAACACCTACATGGAAGAGACCCGGACGACCACGCTCCAAAAACCTCCTTCAGGTCCCATGTCGTGCGCGTTCGAAAAAATGCTGAGTACCCCTGGTGTGGAAGTTGTGAGTGGCCCATGGCACTGCCAAGTGAACCATACGCTGGAGTTCACAAAGTATACGGAGAAAATGGTGGCCAAGAAAGGAACAGAACTTCAAGCCTCTTCTTCTGCTTCATGCCGCTTGAGGCCTTGGCCCCCGGTTCAAGGGGCAAAAGCCAAGGGCTGTTTTCAGGTCAAGCAAAAAACACAAACGGCCCCGAAATCACAAACATGCGACCCTGGAGGGACCTCTGAAGGCAGACAGACAACCAGACAACCCATCGGACCCACGCGCGCCCCTCCCAGGCGCGGTCGAGACCGACGGGCCAAAACCCGGCCAACCGGGGCGCCGGCCAAAGCCAGCGCACGCGCCCGGCGGTGGGCAGCTCGCAGTCTCGGAACATCATCTGCTGCATGGCCTGCAAAAAAAAAACATATGGAGTTGACGTTGGAAGGGGAGCAAAAATTTAAGCTCTAGCAGCTTTTGCAGTTAAGTTTGCTCCCAAGTTTGGTTTAGTGGAAGTCCTAACATCCGAGCAAAATGCACCAAACTTATATTTTTGGCAGTTAAGTGGGCGCATCTCAGGGCATGCCAGCCACTACCGGCCCCCAGCTCCCAGCCCACCACGAGCAGGCTTAGTTCAGTGTGCCAAGGTCAGGTTTGTCTAACGTGTCTGAGACTGGCCTCAGGCCAACGACCAGTCTCACGTGTCTGAGACTGGTACTGGTCTCAAGCTATGCCAGCTACTAAGCAGCCCAGGCTGACCAGGCCCCTTCGGCGCAGTCTGGGACTGGTCTCAAGGCATGCCAGTAGCCTCAGGCCCTCAGCCCGCCTGCTGGCGTGTCTTACGTGTCTGCGACTGGCCTCAGGCCCAGCCCAGCCAGCAACTCGCTACCCAGCCTCAGCCCATCCAGCGACCCGCCCAAGCACAGCTCAGCCCAGCCCGCCCAGCCGAAGTTCCAGGCGCAGCCAGCAGCGTAGTCCGGCTGCCCAGCAGCCAGCAACCCACCCATGGCTTCGCAGCCTCGTGGCTGAGACTAGCTTCAGGCAGCAACCCGCCTAAGCCAACCCCACCCAAGCCCACCCTGTTTGAGACTTGCAGGCCTCAGCCTATCTAGCGCCGAGACTGGGCCTCGCCAGCCTGGGCTCAACTAGCGTCTAGCCCAGCCCAGTCCGCCTGCTGGCCAGGCCTGTCTGACGTGTCTGAAACTGGCCTCAGGCCCAGCCCAGCCATAGCCCAGCCCCCTCAGACTAGCTTCAGGCCCAGCGCAGGCTTATCTGATGTGTCTGAGACTAGCCTGTGGCCCAGCCCAACCAGGCGAGGCCGGCTTGTCTGACTTGTCTGGAGCCAGCTTCAGGTATTCGGACCTTCCCAACACTGGATTTCGGTGTTCCTGACCCTTCCCTCAAACTAGGCTGGGCCGAGGCGGGCAACGCGAAGCGTTTACAATTATAGCTCGCTGACCCATTGAATAGGACCCGACATCGGATGCGAAAACACATGATCGTCCTGTTTCAGGGGTCCCAGGAATATCAGAGGCGCGGCTTCCCCCTCATTCCGAGTTCTGTGGATAGTCTTGGGTGTGACTCAACGCCCCCAAACCCCAGCCCAAAATCCCCCCCATGTTCCCGGTTGCCTGGTTTGGCCCTATGAAAATCGGCCATGAAATTTCAGCAAGAAACATCCGTTTCGGAGGTCGGCCCTTGCAAGACGGACCGAGGCTATTTCAGGTTCCCTGTTACAATGTCCGGAGGACATGACACACAAACAAACAAGTCACATGAGCCACGTCCACATATGCGGTTCCCGTACCAGGACCTTTAATAGCCTGGGACAAACCTCTCCAGGGTACAATAGTAATACGAGTATCATGCCAGATGTACTGTCTCATGTATGATGCGAAGACATATTGACAACCATATCAACATGGCTAGGGTCGAAACAGCGAGCCACATGCGAAGCCTAACCCAAATTACCCCAGGTCTTGACCACCCAACTGCTTTCATCAGGGGATGGCCAATGAAAAGGCCGGCTGGTCAAATCCAAAGAGGGCCAGGGCTAGCAAGCACTACGAACATGTCATTTTCACACTCAAACAGGGCTGGCTCACGGGTTTCACCAAACAGGGCGTCTAAAATTGAAGACTCGCCACGGGTAAATGTGGGCCACTTCGTGTGGAACCCGACTTGGCTCCTGGTAAAAGGGCTTCGTGACTGGGGCGCTTCCGCGTCTAGGCACAGGGCACTAAGGGGTCGGAATGGACCAAAATTGGCGGTTGAAACAAAGGGATCTGGTTGACCATCAGACTCTCAGATGGGTGTCTTTTTTGAGGGAACCCCTTTCCTTCTGGTGTTAACAGGAACCCAAGAGAAAAACAACGCTCATTCTGGTCTGTTGTTGTTGTTTTTTTTCTTTTCCGGGAGGGAAACCGCCACAAATTCCCTGCGCCTCGGACTCACCTTGGTGATGCAGCCAAATCACCGCGCAGTCCACCTCCCGTCCGGAGCTCAGTAACCACCGTTGTCCAATTCCCACAACCCTTCCGCTTCCTTCAGGGGAAAACGGGGTATACGGGCGTGTTTTTTCTTTTTTGTTTTTTTTCTCGGGGAACCCCCTTTTGCTTTGGAAAGCAAGTAGGAAACCAGCCATCTTGCAAAAACGAGAGCCGCGTTCCAAGCTGATGTCGAATCAGAAACATCTAATCGACAAAAGGAAGCTTGCTCCCGCCAAGAAAACAAAACTGATTAATGTTTGCGCTCGGGAGACTTGCTTGAAATCAGTCTGCTGCAAAGGTGATGATTGAAACCAGCCAGAAGAGGAGATGGGAGAGATTTGGGCTCCCGGAAATCTATCCCCTGGTCATTCAAACTGGACCCAGAATCACCTGCAATCCACCCCCCGACTGCAAGGAATTTCCCCATGCGCCGTAGTTCCTCTCTTGGATGATCCCAAAGATGAGCTTTCGTGAAAGGCCGATGTCCAGAGGAACCCGGGAAGGGGGTGGGTCTTTTTTGGAGGGAACCCCTTTTGGTTGGGTTTAAAGAGAAACCAAAACTGGGCTGTACGTTGTCTGATCCCCTGAAAGTTTAACTCTTCTGGGTTGAAATGAAAGCCACCCACCAAAACAAACTAAAGAGCACCAAACAGACCTTTCTGGAACCGATGGTTGAACCACCAAGAAGAAGAACATCACCATTTCAGGGGTTCCTGACTTTGAGACACGTCCAAGGAGCCCTGAAAACATAGATCATCACGAAAAGCTCTTGCAAGGCCAGGCACGGCACCTCTCCCAGATTTTGTTCGTATTGCACAAGCGAGTGACCAGGGAGAATCATAGGTCCCCGCAAGAAACCTCTTCTTTTTGTGAGGCGCCCGATTTCTGTTTCTTGCAAGGAGCTGGGTGGAGAAGCCAAAGTCCCCAAAAAACGAGACCGACCCCTTGAACTTCCAGAGCCGAAGTGTTGCCGAGCTGGGATGCCAGTCTCCGGTGATCTGATATGTTGACCCCGCGTGAATCAGCCTTTGGGGTTTTGGGCGGGGCGTCCTTCGAAGGTGAGTCGGATCCATAAAATGGAAACCCGCTATTGATTGACCAGTGGTTATTTCGGTCCGGGGCAAACCTTAGGTGGCTTGTCCCAATCTTAGGTACAGGGTCGTCCATAAAGGTGCTGGATTTCGTCCAACAGTACCTCCCCTGAGTCATAATGAAAACATTGTTTGCAGACACGTCTACTCAAGGGCGGACATCCGTACCGATGCTTCTGGTTGGACAGTCCCCCACTTTCCGGCTTTGATTGTGGCTCCCATGGACCTCCTATTTGGGGTTCTGCCCCTTGCACCGAGAAGCCAAGGATAAGGCCCTGGCCAGGCCCTCAGGGCTTAATAGCTAATACTGTGGATGATTACGAAATCCATTTCGCATCATCCTTTCAGAAACTTCTTTGAATGATTCGAATCCCGAAGGTGAATACCAACTGTGGTGCGGACGGATTTCATCCATCCACAGTAGCCCCCTCCCCACACGCCTTCCCTGGAGAGTCCATGCTATGTCCCCAGCCTCTTTCCCAGCCACGCGCCAAAGATCGGCAACCTCCTTGGCCACCAACTCCCTCTCCGCCTTCTCTGTATCCTGCCGGAAAGATCGGGTGACAGTTGGTTGCGGGTCAAAACCCAAACCCTGGTATTCACCTACTCCCCCACAATTCCCTTCGAAGATAGACCAACAAAATAGGGGGGTACTCAAAACCAGGCCCTCTGAATTTTGACCCACGCCCGTTTGGTGGCTCTTTGGTTCCTCGGGCCGTCTTGAGAGTGCATGTCTCAGGCTAGTGTGAACTCATTTACTCAGCAAACCCCTGATTGCATTTGGGCGTGTCTTTTCTACGGGACCCTAGGACATGGTTGTTCTCCTCTTGCTGTCCCTTTAAAACCACAAAAGCGGGGGGCTACCTCAATTGAACGACGCCCTCCAGTGGTGGTTTGGTTATGCGAACTGTTGCTTGACACCTCGACGCCGTAAAGATACAAGGGCAGACCTCAGCGCCGAAGCAAGACATGGGATCCGTCTCTGAAAATCGCGGAGCTTTCTGGGCCAAAAAACAACTGAACAGGCTTCTGGATTCCCATCAGATCGGAGGCCACATTTTGTCCTGTGCCAGCCGTTTTGCATTGAAAAACCAAGAGGAAGACCGGTTTGCCATTTCTAGGTCCGTTCCTAAACAAAGACTCAGCCACTTTCATTCCATCCAGAGACTCCGGGAACGCAAACTCGAGCCTCAGGCGCAACCTCCACACCCTGCACGAAACTCGAGTGCCAATCGGCCCAGCTTGGCCGCTTTTCTGGAAACCTGAAGGAAAAACACATGTTGTCTGTTTGTTTTTTTGGGGGGAGGTCCCCCCTAGGAGAAGATGAACAAATATATGATTTCTCAGATTCCGTTCCATGTCAAAAAGGTAAGTCGCCCTTTCTGTGTGAAATTGAATCTCCCCAAACTAACCACAGAGTACTGGGTTTTCATTGACCAAGCCTCACATAGTCCAGGATTATCCTTTTTCATTCATATTCATGGGCAGACTTGCTGACAAAATCCATGTGTCATCCTATCCTTGCTTGGTAGGATGTTGCACAATGCTGCTTGACAAGTGTGGGTTTGTGCAGTTGAGACGCCATCCTCAAGGCTGGAACACAACACTAATCGTCGGCTGGGACGAAGCGTCTGACCCCAGTCTGTATGCTACAGCCTTGTGATTTGAGTACCGAGCCTTTCTAAACAGGTTCCGGTGGGTTTGTTTCTTTGGGCTATGGCTACGGTGGTACCGTCTCCGTCTGGCGCAGATGTATGTTTCAGTGCGACCAGCGCATGCATGAGCTTGCCTGGCAAGGCATTGTCATGCCGCTCTCTGGCATCGTCTCAAACAAAACCTGCGTTTAATAGCGAATGCATGCAAGCAAGCGTTTGCCCAAGAGCATTGCTGCTCCAGTTGAGGGTCCCCCTTTAAAGGGAAACCAACATGCATTTGTGGTTTGTGAATCGGCAGATGCAAATAGCGTGTGAGCATCAGGCATGAGGCGTCGAATGAAATGCGGATGAAATCCCTCCCTCGCACTCCCCCATCCCCGAAACCCAGGAGAGCGAGTATGCACGTCGGATTCTGAACGAGCTGCCATTTAGAAAGAGAACGCACTTGTTGGACACTTCCAAGAGCCACAGGGCGATTGCTCGTCATATGCAAAGTCCGCAATCTGTCTCAAATGAAAACATACTGCATTGCTCAATCAAAACCAAACAATTTCCTAGACTACAGTGTGCAAGGCCGAGCAAAGCAAATGCACTTGCCTGAAATGCAGGTGGAAAAAATGAGAAGAAAAAACACACACACACACACACACACACACACACACACACACACTTTTGCAAAACAAGAAAAAGAAGAAAAACAATGGCGGAGGACCCGTTCGAAAGGCAAACCATAGGACTCCGTTTGGCGTGTTCTTCGGTTTCGGGGTGTCGACACCGGGAGCGCTTTCCCGCCTCCGCGCTTGCCATGCCTGGCGCCGGAGTGCGTGGCTGAGAGTGGCGAGAAGGAACCCTTGTGATACTGTGGATGGACAAAATCCTGCACCACTTGGAAACTATGGGAAACCCCTGTTTGTTGGTATTCTCAAGGGAATCATCATTCCAGGGTTTCTTAGGTGGTGCAGGATTTCGTCCATCCACAGTACCAATGGCGGGCCCTGCATGGCAACGGCTTCCTTTTGCAAGAGAAGACCAAGAAGGGAATCCTAGGACAAAAGTGACAGATCCCCAGGTTGCATTTTGAGGAGTCCGAAATTGCAACCATCAGCGGTTTTGGAGCGAGTTTTGGGTTGACCTCGAAATAGGACCCCGATTGAAAGCCATAGATTGATGAACACCCGTTTTGGGAGCGAGTGTTGGGTTTAGCTCCAAGAGAAAGGACGGGCCGATTTAGAAGCCGTAGATGTTCATTTTGTCCGAGTGCGGGGCACCAAACCACCAAGCCACCAAGATCAAACAGTAATGCCCACCTAACCACCGACCATCCAAGCCAACAAAACACCGAACTTAACCACAACCCAAAGTCACATGAAAATGACTTGACCTAAGGAAAGACACGCGTGTCAAAACTTGGGGGCGCTAGGGGCGCAAAAATCCAGCGGCACCCAGTTTGGCCATATCATTTTATTTTATTTGATTTACTTGTTTATGTTGTTGTTTTTTGGAGGGGGGGGCAAAAATCGAGCAGCCAATTTGGCCCAAATATATTTATATATATATATATATATGGTCACCCCCCCCCCAGGGCCTACCTTTGCCCTCTTCTAGTTGAAGGTGTCAACTCTACTCTGTGTGCCTCTTTCTTGCAGATGCCTGAAAACACTGTAAAATACAGTGTTTGTGTTGTTGTTTTACCTTCTATATGACAGCAAATGTCTGATTATTTGAGGCTTGAAAGGCAGCAAAGCGAAAACGGATTCCGTTTTCAGATTCGAGCCTGGCTTTGATTGAATCACTGGTTTTTACAGTGGTTTTGAGTACACCAGGGAAAAAACATTGAAAACATGATGTTTTTGGCAGCTTTGAGCTCTGCAACCTGCACAGACCCAAAAGCACAAAATCTCCTGAAAATGAAAGCTCTGAGACCTGCACATGCCAAACACATCTCCAGACCAAGTTTGGGAGTCTGGGGATATGTGCCCTTTATTTGTTTAGCCACATTTAAGCTAAATCATATTTGGGAATGAGTTACTATTAAAATTTGTTTGCAAAGGCCCAGTGATTTCTTTCCAGAATAAGCTATATTCCAATTCAAGCTGTATTTGGGGATGGATTCTTGATTAAATTATTATGTTCAAAAGCTAATTGAATTCTGTCTGCATTAAAGTATATTTGGATTCTACTGCAATGATATGTTCCTTACTTGGAAAGGTATTCCTGTTCAAATTCTGATCAAATATAGACATTATGGTGAATTATGAATGGTGGTGAACTATGTGCTTACTAAATTCTATTCAATATGCAAATTCAATTCGGATCAAAATCGTATTTGGAAAGGAATGTGTACTTGGATATGTTGGACTCCAGGCTCCAAATTATGAGGCTTGGAGAATCCAACATTAGACATCTCAAGGATTCTGATCTCCAGATTCTAGGTTTCAGGTGTTTCAAATTGGACATTTCAAGGGATTAGAGATCCAACAAAATGCTGTAAAACACAGTGTTTTGCAGCAGTTGCTCAGATTGTGTTCCCTTGGACCGAATGGACAGCCTTTGATATAACAGTGCAGCAGTGATGACACACCCACACACAATCATCAACCTTTTAGGACCACATGCCCAAACCACATCAAACAAGGCCTCAAATGAGTGTCCTTTTTTTCCCAAACAACAGTCTCCACTTGCTACGCAATAAGCCTACAGAAGGTTTATAAACTTTCAGGAAAGTTTATAAACCTTATTGAGTGTTTGACGAGTTTCCCGCGTCAAGGCAACAACACCCTACGAAGTGTTCATGGTATCGTTGAAGGATGGGGGGGGGGGGGGTTGGTTGGAAGTCTTGGGGGGGGAGGGGGGGGGGGGGTGGTTGGTTGGAAGTCTTGGGGGGGGGGGGGCTGGTTGGAAGTCTTGGGGGGGCTTAGCAGAGGTGTGACTCAGCCACCTTTGTAAAGACTTCTCAGCCCCCCCCCCCCCTCCCTCCCCCCCCGGTAAAGAGTTCTGACCCCCCCTGCCCTTGTTGCAGGAAACCGTCAAACCCTTGACATGGTTTATAAACTGTCTTGAAAGTTTATAAACTCTTTGCTGTTGTTACTCAACATGACTTGTCACCCACAAAAAAATATGCAGCAACAGCACACTTCTTGCGTATATATGCTCACCCTGTCTTTAAAAATAAGAGGGCTTTGTACATTTTGAAGTGGAAAGGTAGGCCTTGGGGGGGGGGGTGAGCATATATATATATATATATATATATATATATATTGGGGGAAAAAATCGAGCGGCCAATTTGGCCCAAAAAAGAAGGGGGGGGGGGGGGCCTGGAAATGAGAGTTCAACCCAAACGCCACCCTCCAGCGATCGGCTGCGCCTCCAAGTAGGCGGGTCACATGGCCATCGCTTGGGAACCGGTGCTTGGGACCCGCTAGGAAAATAAGCCTTGGAATGCCTTTCAGGCTCTCCTCACGGGTTTATGTGTTTTTTTTTGAACGTCGCCCAAAGAAAGCTCATTAAAAATGAGCAATGCTCAATGTCCCTAGTAGAAGAGTGAAAGAGACCTCTGCCCCCCCGCTCTCTCTGGCTTGTGTCTCGGTGCGGCTTCCTTCGAACTGCCTGACTCCCCGCCCGCGTCTGAAAGCTGGTGCGCCGAGAATCGGCCTCCAGCTCAACAAGCCTAGGGCCCCATCCGCGGGTTAGGTGCCTCACTCGATCCCATTGACCTGCCCAACCTGGAAGTGCAAAGCTTTGCACCTCTTTTGGGTTAAGAACGACCTATGGCGCGGCGCGCAAGCGTTCGGAACCCGGAGAAAGTCTGTTTTGGCCCCCCTGAGTGTTGGAAAGCTACGTTCTTGGAGAAAAGCCCTGTGCACTTCCAGGTTTGTCGACGGAAGGGTCAACTGAGGAACCTCAGCATGTCTGTAAGTATGGGTTCCGAACACGACCAAAACCCTCCAAGTGGTTGTCCACGCATGTTTCTGGCGGACATGAAGCAATTTAGTGGTCCAACAGGCTTCGATGACATGTGAGGCATGCTGACAATCACTTGTTTCCTCCCTGGTTTGTTTGTGGGAAATTTAGTGAGTGTCCCCACGTGCCTGCCAAATGAGCCACACACTACTGGATTTTTTGACCGGACATGACCAGACCTTCTATGAGTTATGGTGAATATGAATTTTGTCCCCAAACTGGCATGTGACTTTAGTGAGCAACCACATTCCCCCTTGGTACTTCCCGATGTCATTCTCTTGACTAGAGTAGATAATGCTCAATGTTATTTTTTGAGGAGCCCGGATCAATAAGCCCCTGGTTGACTAACAGGCCCTTTTTACGGAAGCCCGCTATCACTACGGGTTCTACTTCGATCCGGGGTCAGCGCCCAGAACCCGAGACTGGTTCAGGGTATAGGTCGCAGGAAGCGAAATCCTTGGCCGGTAGGCCTCCCTGAAATCAAAATGATCTGAACCCAAACCCATGCATAGACTCAGGGCAGAAAAAAATCGCACCAATATGTGGTTGGGACTCTTCTCTCCCAGCTTCGTCTGCCCCCGGGCTTTGAGTTTGCTCAGGGGAAGAAACCCCTCAGGCCCAGTTGGAAAGTGGGGTGTTCCTTTGACCCGCCACTTCAAGAATGGAAACAATAAGGAGCCCACATATTTCGTGGGGAACACCAAGGCTCCCAAAGCTAATAGGAAAGATTCATAGAAGGCCTTCTGTTCGAAGGGTTCGTCCATTCTCAAGGTGTGTTTCGTTTTAGGGCCCCCCCAAATTGTGGGTTCTCCTTTCAGTTTCCCTTTAAACCACCAAACCAGAAAATGCCAAGCCTCCGAAAAAGACGAGGCCGAACCAATCTCCGAAACTCGCGCTTTTGTGCGCACGTTTTCCTTCCACGAAATGAGTGAGACACCTTCGCTCACCCAACTCGCCCGAAGAGCCGTCGCAACGCGCGCTTCAAGGGGTCGACCCACAACCATGGTGAAAGAAGTAGAGAGCCGAAAGGCGGCAGTGTCTTCCAATTGGGGACCCCCCAAAACGGGAACTGTTTCCGTAGGTTTCCACAACACACGGTTTTGAGTGGAGCGAACCCTGCAGCTGTGGCTTACTCAATACTCTCACACGGGCGAGAATGCCGGAATGTCCACTCCACGCGTCCTACCGGCGGAAAACAAACAAACAAACAAACAACCAACCAACCAACCAACCAACCAACCAGCCAACCAACCAACCTACCAGCCAACCAACATGGGATCAGGGGCCTTCCATCCCTGAGAGCACCCGAGATCACAGCCTCGCCTGCTGAATCTGTCCTCACATGTCAAGCCTCGAGAGCTTGCACTGTCATGCACACTGTCTTTGGTTCACGTTGCCATTTCAAAACTTTCGAATCTCCAGCTATCCGTCCACTGCAACCAGCTGACACACCACCACGAGGGTCTGTGGCGTATTTACATACAGCTCCAATCCATAGCAAAAAGAGAGCTACGCCAAAAAGCAAATCCTTGCCTTAGGAGTTTCAAATGGCAACTTGGAAAGCACTATCAAGTAAGCAGAAATGGTCTTAGTTCGGACAATCCCTCACCTTGATGTGTTTCTTACTTCCAAGCTGGCTGTCCTTTGTGTAGCACCACAAGATCCAAGCTGATTGAAGGCATCCATTGGACAAGATCCCAGACGCCAAAGCAGCTGGGAACTGGGAACTGTCGAAGTTGGACTCACTACAGACCACTCAAAAGGAGCCCCAGCCGACCCAAGAGCCCGTGTTTTATTGAAGGCCCCCAACAAAATGGAGCCCCCTGGCCGGATTTTTACCAAACAAAATGGGCCCAGAACGCGGCCCACCTAGACTAGAATTCGGGTCGTCGACTCGGGTCTCCTGAGCCCCGCCAGCGCGGTTTGCATGGCCGCCGGCGTTGCGCCCTCCAGTCCCCAGCCAGGGTCGTGCTGCTCCACGTAGAGCCTCCGGCGCGGCGAAGCTTTTCGGCAGCCGCTTGCTTGCGATCAGCGCGACAGGTAGGGAATGAGAAATGGAATGAACCGGTTGTGGATGGCTCCCGAGTAAAGGAAACCACCAGTTGGATGGTTTATAAGGGTCATTATTCCATTTCTCATTTTCTGCTGAGCACCAACAAGCTTAGACAAGGTTAAACCCGACAGTCGGGAAAGAAACTAGGTTTTGATTTATGTTTAAACTGCGTTCGCCCAACGATACGCGTGAAGTTGCATGCTACCCTCCAATCATGGGAGTGG